CATACTATGGCTACCTTTTATTTTGGAAAGTCACCTGATAATTAGTGTTGCCAACACTTAGTAATTTGTAATTATTAAATAAATGAGGAAGACTATTATGGGTTTTGCATACTAGCAGTATTCTAATGTGTTTAGCATCCCCCCAATATTTTCATGTATCATGCTCTACAAGGAATTTTATGAGTTATTAGGATACATTGTATTAGGATACGTTGAATTAGATGTTACAAGTTAGTGTCTGGGAAAAGTAAAACTTAGGGAGAAATGTTTGGATAGTCTGGCAACAGAATCTTAGGCAACTAAATTAGTGTGGGTATATCATTATTAGGCTTAGAGCAGGTAATCAGACAAAGGGGAAGCTGAATTGCAAAACTCAAGCTTTCAAAAGGAAAGGATATCATACCCTCACAGGAAAATAGTTTCTCTCTACATTTTGTTTGAAAACATTTTTACCTGAATGTGTTTACAAGTGGATGTGGGATATTGCAGTGGAGGAAATCTTAAACAAATTTCTATCAGTAATCACTTCTGTGTTTCATTCACCAATTTCTTAATGTATATTTATTGCACTTGCGAAGGAAACTTGGCAATAATGATATTGAATGGCTATGATACTTAAATCATTTTCTTGATGTAAACCTTTGAAAAGCCCCTCAAGCTATTTTCTTTTTCCCTTCATTTCCTGTTAAAGTTTTCCCTAGACCCCCACCTCCCAGTTGTTTGTTCAGGCAACACAGCAGGTTTTCTCACCCGGCCAGCTCAAGTATGGTATACTTGTTGGGTTATGTGATGTTATAGTACCTGACAATTTTTGGTTTTTAACTTGACTGCAATAACATATAAAACACTAAATTTACTCAATAATGGTTTGTAGTGTATTTTCTGCTAATTTTAGAATATTTTATAATCTAAATTTTAGATGATAGGGGCTTCCCTTGTGGTGCAGCAGTTGAGTGCTGGGCTGCGAAGCTGCCCGCAGCCTCTGCAGTGCTGGTTCGATCCCCGGCCACCAGCAAGGGTCCGGCAAGGGTCCCACATGCCATGCAGACCTTTCCTGCCGCGCCCACTGCTCCCCTCAACAGTGTGCTTCGTCGGTCTGCCTGTTCTGCTCCATGCTCTGGCTCTGGTGAATTCTCTCACCATCTCGCGCTTCTGACTGTACCCAGTGCTTGTATAAATAAATAAATAAATCTTTTAAAAATATATATAGATGATGGAACAATTTTAGAAGAATCCATTATTCTAAAAGAAACCTAGAGTCCATTAATAGACATTCCCATTTGCTTTTTTTCTACCCCTTTCTCTGTTCTCTTCCCTTTTCCCTGAGCAGCTACCAAACTATTTTATGCTCCTATGAATTTACCTTTTCTGGATATTTTGTTAAATGGAATCATATCATATGTATGTAGACTTTTGTTATAGGCTACTTTCATTTAGCATGTTTCTTAGGTTCATTCATGTTGTAGCATATATCAGTACTTTTTATCTTTCTACGGCTAAATAATATTCGATTGTTAGGGATATACCTAGTTTAGTTTATCCATTACTCAGTTGTTGGTAATTTGAAGATGTTTATTTTTTTGGCTACTAAGAATAACTCTACTGTGCACATTTGCATGCAAGTTTTTGTGTGGACAAATATTTTCAATTTCCTTGGGTAAGGCATGTAACTAGGTATGGGTTTATATAACTATGTTTAATTATGTTTAACAGTGAGGCTGTTTTCCAGAGGGAGTTCACCATATTCATTTTGGTCAGCAATGTATGGGAGTTTCAATTTCTCTACATCCTTTTCAGCTTTTATTGCTTCTGTTTTAACTGTTTTGATTTACTTGTCCTTAATGGCTATTGATTTTCAGCTTCATTTTATAGACTTATTAGCCATTTGTATATTTTCATTGCAGTACTGTTTATTTAAATCCTTTGCACAATTTTAATTTGGGGTTTTTTTCCAGCTGTAAAATTACTTTGTGTATTATAGTTAAGAGACCTTACTACATATAATGTACATTTTTTCCAAGTCCATGAGTTATCTTTTATTGTCTTGATGTTATCCATTAAAGCACAAAAGTTCTCAGTTTTGATGAAGTACAACTTACCTATTTTTTTCTCACTTACACATTTGTTGTATACAACCCAGTGCCATGAAGATATATACTATGTATTGCAAGAGTTTTGTAGTTTTGGTTCTTACATTTGGTATATTATTCATTTTGAGTTAATTTTTACATAGTGTAATGTAGGAGTCTACATGATAATATTCCTTTGTCCCAAAACCATTGAAAAGATTATAATTTATGCTTGCATCATTGAATTGCCTTAAAGCCCCTGTCAAAAAAAATAAATTGAGGAGCTCTCCTGGTGGATGCAAGGGGTTAAGTTTCAGCACTATCAAGCTGTTAATAGCCCTGAAACATGAGCTCAAACCATCCTCTTAGGGAGGACACAAAAATTACTAAGCATAAATGAAACAAGTCATACAAGTCAACTTTACCAGTAACAAAATTTTTACACATTGGAAAACACAATAAAGAAAATGGAAAGACAGGGCCTCCCTGGTGGTGCAGGGGTTAAAGTCTCAGAGCTATCAAGCTATCACCAGCCACTGTGGCATGAATTCGATCCTGGCTAAGGGAGCTAACCCACATGGCACAGCAGACCTCTCCTGCCTCACCCGCTGCTCCCCTCAGCAGTGCATTTCAGTAGATCTGCCTGTTCTGCTCCCCAATCTGTCTCTGGTGTATCCTCTCACCCCTGCACTTCTGGCCTACACCATAGTTCTTGTATGTATAAATAAATAAAAATAAATCTTTAAAATAAATAATAAATAAATTGAACCTAAATGTAAGTATTTCTGACCTCTCATTTTCCTTCTATGAAGTAGGTAATCTTTGCATAAAAAGTGAAGATGTGAATCTAAGTTTTGGTTTTTGGGCTTCCTCAAAATAGTTGCTACCTCATAGGTGCTGATCATGGTTGTCATTTATTCCCTCATATTTCCATTTGGAGAAATTCTATCTTGCTATTATTTTATCTTGGTTGTATTTTGATGTGATTAGACATGTAGATTTAATTTGTAGGTGATGAGTAGGCAACGGGAATAGGCTATGCCAGGACAGAGTCATAGAAGTAACCTGTACACTGTGCTATGATCTGACTTTCATATTCAGTGTGCAAAGTTTGAATAAGTCTTAATAAAATATTTGGAGAGATCTTGATAGCCTTTGAGTATTAGACTAAGTATCAGTCTTTTGACATGAACAAATATGGCCTTCGAATGAATGGTGGTTGTATTCATGAAAAGCATTGAACTAGAATTTGAGACCTGTGCCATTCTTCTGGCTTGGTGAGGTGCTAACTTGTTTTGTGGACTTTGGGAAATGATTTGACTTGGTTTCTGTTTCTACCTCTCTAAAAATGAAGAGGTGTGGCTGAATGATAGCTAAAGCCCTACTCAGACCTAAAGTTTGACATTCCCTCTCCTTTAGTTGCATGTAAATTGACTTTTAGTATCTAAATGGGCTCTTGTCAGAGTTTAAAAATCACTCTAGGTGACTCTAATATGCAAACAAAGTTGAGAACCCCTGCTTTAGACACCTAAAAGATTAAGGGCACCTTGAAGTGAAATAATATTTTCAGGCTCCCATATATTTTTTTAAATTTATTTATGCATACCAGAGCTGGGGTGTAAGCCAGAGATGTGGGGGTTGAGAGGATTCACCAGAGACAGAGTGGGAAGAGAACAGGCAGACTGACTGAAATATACTGCTGAGGGGAGCAGTGGACAAGACAGGAGAGGTCTACCTGGCCATGTGGGTTGCTCCCTGGCCTGCCAGAGATCGAACTCATGCTGCTGAGGCTGTGGATTGCTTCATAGTGCGGTGCTTTAACCCCTTGTGCCACCAGGGTGGCCCAGGCTCCCATATTTTTAAGATGATGAAATAGAATGCTGGTTGTGGTTATAGCAAGAGTGAAATGACATGAGTTAATACATTTTATGGATTATGGAGTAATTTGGTATGTTAAATCATTGAATCTGAAGAATTCTGTGAAACTAGGAAAATTCTCTCATCCCCATATTGCAAATGATGAAGTTAAGAGAAATTAGTGGCTTGCTCAAGGTTACCATGCTAATAAAAAGAGGAGTCATAAGGGTTAATAATCTCAAGCTGTTGGTATTTATTGCTCTTTAAGCTATTGCCTTCTTTAAAAACTCCTATAAATTTTTTTTTAATTATGGGTATCAGGACACTAATGGTGGTGGAAGACAGATGGGGGGGACAAGGGGAAAACTAATTTCATAATGTGATAATCACTTGAGTTGCCACATAAAGAATAATTATGTATTCATTTGAATCCTCTGGAGGTAATTGCCATAGATACACCAAAAGGAACATGCATCAGTTTTTCTCTTTGTGTTAATGGTGACTGATTCCAATTTACCCTTCCCCTGCTTTTGTTTCTTTCAGAGAGTTTGTAAGAAATAACTTGTGTACTCTGCTGTATTATTGTACTATACATTTGCTTATATCTGTGGGTATAATAGTCCATTCTTTGGAACAGTGCTTTGGATGCTTTTAGTCTGTGGCTATGGTTCCTGTTAGTCCTTTGAATTCATGCCTTTCCATACCTTAGCATTCCTGATCACTAGTCAGTTAATCATCAATGAGTTGGGCTTTGGAAGTGGTGCTTTGTGGTTGAGTGACTATGAAGGCACAGTTCTCCTTCCTCTCCTTTTCAGAATCTCAGGACTGGATCTTTGGGGAAGCCCTGCATTAATTCTGTTGTATTTACCCTTCTACCTTTCAACCTTTGGGTTTGTGAATATGTGGGACAAAATAGCTGTGGTGTTCTCTACCCGTCTTGGGGGAGAGATACCTCAAAGAAGTCTACGAAGGATAACCTTGAGAAAGTCTATTTCCTTAAGTAACTAATATTTTTAGAGTAAATATTCAACATTGTCTATTTCTATTGGTTCATTGTGCTTTCTCTCCCTTTAGCCCCCCAGGTTCGCCCAATAGTCTTGGCTACTTCCCTACAGCTGCTAATCTTAGCGGTGTCCCTCCACAGCCTGGCACGGTGGTCAGAATGCAGGGCCTGACCTACAATACTGGAGTTAAGGAAATTCTTAACTTCTTCCAAGGTTACCAGGTCAGTAGCTTGAAGAAGAAAACAACTACTCAGTGCCCTTATTACTTAAGTTGATTTTCCTAAAGAATGCAGTCAGGAAAGGGTCCGATTTCTTCAAAAGTCATGTATGTGCTTGTGCTAATGGATTTGCTTATGGAGGCAAATAGAACCAGAATTACCGTCAGGGGGACTAGGGTGAGTGCCAATTTCAAACTCATCTCTTTACTTTTCCATATTTTGTTTCAACTTAATCTATTTATGCTTTTTTTTTTTTTTTTAGAAAATTGGGCTAAATTTGGGAAAGCTCTTGCAGGCACAGAACAGTGTGGGTGTGGGGTTGGCTAAGAAACTGTTATCCTCAAAGTCAAATCCTTAATTAAAGGAAAAGATAGTTAAACATGAGGTTTTAATTTGAGTATTTGAAATGTGGTCAAGGTTGTTTGCCTATTCTGCCAAAAACAAAGGCAATGCAATGAATTCCTTTAAATGAACTCTGATATTTAGTGAAACGTTTATGAAATGATAAACTGTTAATTCTTGTGAATCTGAAATTTACTCTTGCCAGTTGTTTCTACAACTGCATGGGTCCATCAGTTGTTTCTGATTTAAGCTAAAGAATGGGGTGTGTATTGATAACAATTCTTAAAACACTGAACCAAATTTCCTCTTTGCCATCTCATCTGAGCAGACACCTTTCTTTCTCAACTAGTATAAAATTATCTTGAGTCCCAGCTCCTTTTCTGCAGTGTCAAAAAATCAGTACTTTATAGTCTTCTTAATTGCACTAATAGCCAAAATTTTCTTTCCTCATGGAGCTAAATTTTATTTGATTCTTTATAGTCGAGAAGCATTTATAGGCGTAATTGTCAAATCCTAACAAATCACTCAAGACTTTACACTACAGCATTATATTATAAAGTTTGTGTCTACAGAGTCTGTTTCACTATTAGAATGGGTTTACCAACTTCCTGTCTATGGATCATGGAACACTGAAGGTCTCAGTAGGGATGCCCCAGAACTACTAAGTTACTAATATGGTTTTAAAGAATTTTAACATACAGTGAATAATTTCTGACAAATAGAAAATATGTGTGATTGTGAAAAACTGAATGAAGGTGGTGACAATTAATCTCTTGTTACTACTGCCTGGCTTTGCACATTAAAACTAGAAGGAAGGTTTTTTTGCTCTTCTGTCAGTTATACACTGTTGGAAGCCCTTATAGCAGGGGTAAAAGAAATACTATCTACTTGTCAAATGTGAGTCAATATATTTTGAAAGGAATAGGGAATTTTGTTGACATCTAGTAAAAGTTTGCTTTATCTCGTGGAGAAAACGTTTGAGTTGTGTATTTTCTGCCTTTTCTAATTCTGGAAAGTACAGTGTCAAGGTTTAGTGGTCAACTGAATGAGTTTCTTTTGATTAACTTTTACACTCACACTGAATAGCCACAGAAATTGTGAAATTGAGTAAATTAGTTCTTTATTAAGTATTGTGGCTGTTTTTTAATTGGTATTCCATTATTTCTAGATTTATGGGTAAAAGATTGACATGCTTCAAAATTCAGATAAATCACCTTCATTCCATAGCCATTTAATTTTCTAGCATTTCCTAGAGAATCTTTCAAGGTTAGAGCAGAGTTATCTGGTATAAATAGAAGCACAAAGACTATATAAAATTATTTCATATTAAGACATTTAGCCTTTATTTCTAAGGTGCTTAGAATTTACTAATTGTATCAGTGAAATAAGATTACATAGGAACCTCAGTGATCCAATAGAGTATATCAAATTCTATTTTGAGCTTTGAGGTAGTTGTAATGCTAGAATCAGTTTTTGGTATCTTATCTAATTTTATATCACTTACATAAAAGTTTGTATTTTCTACTATTTTTTACAACCTACGCCTTCTAATTTTTTTCTTGTTCTCAATTTCATGAACAAAATTCCAATTTCCTTAGATATAAGGATTTATCATGAGATAAAATCAAAGTGAATAACTTTTGCGAAGAGTTCTCATATCTGTATCTTTACCTGTTACAATGTATTTATCACTGTTGATTTAATGGTAGGTTTTCAATTGATTTCTGGTTTTCATTACTTTTACATAATTATCTTATATAATTAAGCAAATCCTTGGTAATTAGTTGAGTGAAATCTCTTGATAGTTTTCTATCTTGATGAAACAATGGCATGTCATTCTTTTTAAAAATGTTTTTAAATATAATTTTCTGATTGTTTCCCCTACCTTCAACAAAATCCTTTCATAAAACTACTCCAACTTAATTTTTCCATACTTTGTTTAGAGGGAGGAGTGTAAAGGGCAAGGGTTTGCAATAAGGAAATAATGCTGATGACTAAAGCAAGATGCAGGACATGGTTCTGCTATCAAACCTGGAATCTTATAAAGTACCTGAATTAGATTAATAAAATGAGAAATGGATTTTTGAAGATGAACTACTATGAAAATATTTGGAATGAATTTGTCATTCTGGTCATGAAATCTACCTGTTCCTTTTAGTTGATGGACCTCTTGTTCTAGAACAGGATATCTGTGTTCTTTTTATATTTCCTTTATCTTATTCATTTGCTTTTTGTACTACTCTTTACTGTCAATGACTTTGCATTTAATAGTGCTAGTTTTGATTTCTCCTCAAAAGCATTAACTTTAATCATTTTCTCTTTTGGCATCTCACTGTAAGATTTTTCTTTGCTGTCCTATTCAGGCAATTAGATTGATTACAAATACATCAATCACAATTTAAAGTTCTCAGTTGTTTGGTGATAATGGGGTAATTAGATAATGCTTTGCAGAAACTTGATGCTCAGATATTTGATATCTAGTCATTAGTTTTTTTTTTCTAAAGATTTATTTATTCATGCATACAAGAACCAGGGAAAAGGTGAGATGCACGGGAGGGTGAGAGGATTCACCAGAGACAGAGAGGGGAACAGAACAGGCAAATTGACGGAAATACATTGCTGAGGGGAGCAGCGGGCCAGACAGGAGAGGTCTGCTGCGCCATGTGGGATTCTCAAGGCTTATCAGCTGGAACCAACACTGCAGAGGCTGTAGACAGCTTCACAGCGCTGTGCTCAACTGCCTGCGCCACCAGGGGAGGCCCGATATCTAGTCATTCTTATTGTATCTTGGAATCTAGACATTTACCGGGACATAAAGTGTTTGGTGGTGGTCATTATGGTATGCTGTTTTTTAATCCATGTGTTCAATCTAACTTCCCTCCTAGATGGCATTTTTATAATATTTAGACATGTAAAATAAGGAATCAAGAGTTAGGATTAGCAGTTAAGTATATAGCTCATCTAAATGTCCCGTAATATTTTTGGCAGATAAATCATCCATAGTGAGTTTGTCCATCTTTTGATCCTGTTTGTTTTAACTTGCATTTTAGTATGCAACCGAGGATGGACTTGTACACACAAATGACCAGGCCAGGACTCTTCCCAAAGAATGGGTTTGTATTTAAGGGCCCCAGCAGTTAGATCAACCTCAAAAAAGAAGGTAAGGCTCTATAATGTGAAAGTTAAATTATAAAGGGCCAAGCAAAGGAGGTCAAGAATCTGAGGGTGGATATTAGGAGTCAGATGAAAGGTTTCTTACATTTTCTTCACTGTGATTTAAGAATGTGAGAAATTTTGGGCCTCCCCAGTGGCGCAGCGGTTGAGCACTGGGCCGGGAAGCTGCCTAAAGCCTCTGCAGCGCCGGTTCGAATTCCGGCCACCAGGCGAGGGTCCCACATGGCGCGCAGACCTCTCCTGCCACTCGCTGCTCCCCTCAGCAGTGTACTTCATCCATCTGCCTGTTCTGCTCCCTGCTCTGGCTCTGGTGAATTCTCTCACCCTCTTGCACTTCTGATGGTACCCAGTGCTTGTATAAATAAATAAATAAATCTTTTAAAAAAATTAGAGGAAATTAAAAACAAAAGAAAAGGGAAAAAAAGAATGTGAGAAATTTTGGAAGGAATGGAATCTGGAATTCAGGTTGTCATTTAAAACAATAAACAACATTTATGCATAAAGTTTGTTATTTTGGGGTAAGGGAAAACTTTTCCACTTATAAATTTATTTTCTCTATCTCATGTGGAATACAGGCTGGATATGTTTTATATTTGTCTTTTTAATTCAAATAAAAATCAAATAACATAGAATTAGCAATTTTTTCCTAAAATTAATCATTTTAAATTATATTATTTAGTCTAATTAGTGAATTCACAGCATGTGCAAGCTCTATATCTACTTCCAAAGCATTTTATCACCCAAAAAAGAAATCCTCATACCCAGTAAATACTAGTTCCCTGGTTCTTCTCCCCATAGATCCTGGCAACCAGTTTAGTTCTGTCTTAGGGATTTGCATATTCTGAATATTTCACATAAATGGAATCATACACTATGTAATTACTTTGTATCCACTTTTTTTATTTAGCATACTTTTTTACTTTCATCCATGGTATCAGTACTTCATTACTTTTTATCTCTGAATGATAATCGATAGTGTGTATAAATGATGTTTTATTCACTTATCTGTAGATGGACATTTGTGTTGTTTCAACTGTGATAGGGACCTTTGCATACAAATATCTGTATACCTGTTTTTTATCCTCTTGAATAGTAATTCTATTATATTGGGCATATGTTTTCCCCAGTTTCATTTTTTAAAAATCGTGGTATAGGGCCTCCCCGGTGGCGCAGTGGTTGAGCTCTGGGTTGCGAAGCTGCCCGCGGCCTCCGCGGCGCCGGTTCGATCCCCGGCTGCTCCCTGGCCACCAGAGGAGGGTCCCACATGGCGCGCAGACCTCTCCTGCCGCCTGCTGCTCCCCTCAGCAGTGTGCTTCGGTCCTTCTGCCTGCTCTGCTCCCCGCTCTGGTGAATTCTCTCACGCTCCCACGCTTCTGACTGTACCCAGTGCATGTATAAACAAAACAAACAAACAAATAAATAAATAAATAAAACATTCCTCTATTAAAAAAAAATCGTGGTATATATAGCAAAAAATTTACCATTTT